TATAAGGACCTACAGAGAATTCTTTGAATAACCACTTATCTCACTTTCAGGAATATTTCTATTAGAAATATAAAACCAAATAATTTACATAATTTAATATCTAAAATGTTTTATATTTAAGTAGCATTTGGTGAAACAGAATCATTGTCCTCTAATTTATTAATAATTCACATAAATCACAGGTTTCAAACATCAGTTCTTCAAAACAACAAGACCCAAAAGCATTGACTGATGAACAAGAATGGAGTCAGTTACTTAAAAAAACATTCATAGGGAACCAACCTAATAAAAATATCCCGAACAGCTTGTTCACTTGCTCCAATATATTTGCTGAGTAACTCTGGCCCCTGGTAAAATAAAATCAGAATTGAGATAAAATTATTTAAAAAGAAAATATAACTTTGATGTTAAATAAGTCTAAATAAATCATAGAAAATTTTTATTATGATTAAATGAATGTCAAATATATTTTAAAAAGTAATATGTGCTGGAATAAGTATCATATCACAAGTTCTACACTTGTTTCTTCTGCCTAGAACATTTGTCCCCAGATATTCATGGCCCGTTGCTTCATTTCATTCAAATCTCTCCCAAAATGCCACCTCTTCAGAAAAACCTTGCTGGACAACTCCACCTGTTACTCTATACCTCCTTACCCTGCTTTTCCTCCTACATGGTACTTAGCACTACCTGACAGTAGATTATATATTAGATGTGTCTATCTGCTTTTTGTCTCTCTCCACTAGTAAAACATAAACTCCAAAAAGGCAGTTTTGTTCACTGCTGAATCCCCAGTGCCAAAAACAGTGCCTGCCACATGAGTACCGAATAATCATTTGTTGAGTGAAGAAATCAATGATTTAAAAAGGGACAAAGTCCCATCTATCTCAAATCTTTGGAGATTCCAAAAAATATGTAGAGACATGACTTACTTTAATTAGCATTTTCAATTACTGAAACCAATTTATTTGGACAGGAGTTGAATAATATATCATCTTTCCTAAAAGGCAACTGAAAAATCTTTCAAAAAAAAACCCTTCACTACATATAGCAAAATCAGTAATGAGAATAGTCTTTCCTTAAATTTGGATCTCTTAAAAAACTGAATAGGTCCTAAAGTGATTTCCAATAAAAAATCACTACCTCCAAAAGACCAAATACTGATCGGGATGTGTGACCAAACTAATGAATTTCTAATACACAGCCATCTAGACATCTATTAATATATTATTACTATTTAATTATATTTCCTCAATACAGTCAGAGAACTATAAAATTAGAGGAGGTTACAAGAAATATTAATAACTAAGGCAAAATAATAGGAACAGGTAACATAATGGTGTCAGCAAAGGGCACCTATCTTTGATGTACGCCTCCTAGGATCCACCCTGAGCCACCCAGAGAGAATTAGCTTCCTACTGAAATCTTCCCACTGGGAACTCAGCCCAAATTGTAATCTGATAATTTCCTAAAAGGGAGGTCCTCCCTAATGGAATAATCTATAAGCTTCAATCTTAAAAATTGTATGTTTTAAAAAAAACAGTGAAACCACATTTTAGTATAAAGTATAAAAAGAAGAATATGGTCATTGTTTCCCCAGAATCCAGAAAAGGAAGATAGGAAAATTTTAAAGTTTTAGTGTTTCTCCACCATTGCCAGGGTACCCATGTTATCCAGCTCACAAAAAACCATGTGATAAAAGAGGGTAGGCAAAACCCTACTACAAATTACTAAACTGGCTTTCAGATTATAAACCAATTTTAAATAAGGACAGAATATATGATTCCTTTGCTTTGGAATCTAATCACCCTTTGATAAACTAATATTGCTGGTGTGCTAAAACTGTACAACTACGATACTGGACCCCAGACCACAATGACATTCCAGAGGTGGACTGTGACACATTATCCAAAATGATCTGCTAGCATGTCTCTTAATTGCCACACTCACCTTGTACCTGAAAAAAACCTAGACCTAGTGTGACACAGCAAGGGTAAGAAACAGCCAACAAGTAACAGACCCATAAAAAGCCCAGCTTCCAGCCTCAGTATGGTCTTCAGCCTCTACTCTTCTAGGTTTTCTTCTGTCTTTAAGTATAGCTTGCCCTTTATCTAAATATTTATGTATAATTCTATTCACAATGCATGAGGATCTGCCTTAAGCAAGAAGGTAATAAGCTCTATGAGAGAGGTGGCTCATTACTCAATTTCATACAACATTAATAGATAGATCACTGCTCCTACCAGCTTCCAAATGTGAGACTAACCCACAATCAAGAAATATAAATGGTGTTGAAGATGTGGAAAATCAGGAACCCCTATACATTGCTGGTGGGAATGTAAAATGGTGCAGTCGCTACAAAAATCAATTTGGGGGTTCCTCAAAAAGATAAATAGAGAATTACCCTATGACCAACAATTCCACTCCTCTGCTTATACCCAAGAGAAATGAAAACATATGTCTACACAGAAATTTGTATGCGAATGTTTATAGCAATGTTATTCATAATAGTCAAAAGGTGAAAACATGGGATAAAAACTTACCTATTGGGTACAATGAACACTATTCTGGCGATGGGCACACCTAAAGCGCTGACTGAAGTATCATACAAGATATCCATGTAATAAAAACACCTGTACCCCTTAATTAATATTATGAAATTTAAAAAAAGCGTGGGAATACCCCAAATGTTCATCAAGGATAAATGGATAAACAAAGTGTGGCATATACATACAATGGAATAGTATTCAGTCACGAACAGGAATGAAGTACTGATACATGCTATAACTTGGAAGAAACATGAAAACATTTCACTAAGCAAAAGAAGCCAGACCCAAAAGGTTGAATATTGCATGATTCCTTTTACATGAAATACACAGAACAGGCAAATCCATAAGAGACACAAAGCAGATTAATGGTTGGAGGGGATGAGTAGGAGAAAAAATGGGATGAAAAAGTTTTGAAATTAGAAAGAGATGGTGGCTGAACAGCATTGTGAATGCACTAAATGCCACTAAACTGTACACTTTAAAATGGTTATTTGCATGTTATGTAAATTTTACCACAATAAACAAAAGATAAAAAAAAGATAAATGCACAACATACCTTGACACTAATAAAATTCATTCCACTCTCTCGAGCAATTACCCCAGCTAGTAAGGTTTTTCCTGTTCCAGGAGGACCATACAATAATATTCCTGTTCTTTGTCGTATGGGTAAGTTTGCAAATAATTCTGGATACTGAGAAATATAAAACAATATAAAAAAAGATGTCAAGTTTAAACAGAAAAGACTAAGTAGCAGCAAAAGATCAATGTATAGAAAAAACTATTCAGATGGTGATAACTGCTACCTTTCTTTATTAACAGCAAACATAACAGTAGAAAATAAAATTCCTACTAAAAATAATAAATGTCAAAAAAACTACCACGGGTTTTTCCCAATTGAACCACGGAATATATTCTAGATAAAATGCATATAACTCCATCAGAACTTCTTTCTACTTTTCCTGTTTTTAAAAAAAACATTATAAAAGAACTACATTAAAAACAAATAAACCCTAGTCTTGTTAACAAGTATACCACCTTACACTTATATAATTAAATGGGGCAAGTTATGGTAGTTGTGTACATTCAAATATATTCAATCAAAGACAGTGAAAATCTCCCAAGAGTCTCCAG